ATATAATTTTCTATGCTGCGCTAGTTTTGTTTACGAATCATGTTATTGTTTTAGTATTTGCTGAATATTTATGCTGGTCCTCTTTTTTATTTTGATGTGAAGGTTTATAAATTTTGAGGTTACCCTGTGATTTATAGTTTTCTTCCTAAGTGTAGAACAGTCCGTTCTATCTTGTAGTTGTCTTGACTTCCCTACCATCTACGAGACAGATATTTTTCCCCCCTTTTGGTTTGTAGTTGTCCTCATGTGTCAGTTGATGTCTCTGGTTCCCTGTTTACAATATTGTAGGCTTATTTACTTTGAATACTTCCATAGCTGGTTGGTTTCTGGATTATATCATCATGTGTGTTAATGGTCAGTTCTTGTTGGCTGTTGTTGCTTCTCTGTCCAATGGGCTCCCTTTAGCATCTCTTGTAAGGTTGGTCTGGTTTTAACAAATTCCCTTAGTTTTTGCTTATCTGGAAATGTCCTAATTTCACCATCATACTTGAGGGACAGTTTTGCTGAGTATGTAATTTTTGGTTGAAAATTTTTCTCTTTCCGTTTTTTATATATACCATCCCACTGTCTTCTTGCCTGCATGGTTTTTGTCGAGAAATCTGAGCTTAGTCTTATTGGTTGCCACTTGTAGGTAACTTTTTGTTTTTCCCATGCTGTTCTCATAATTCTTTCTTTGTCTTTGGTTTTGGTGAGTTTCATGATGATATGTCTTGGTGTTTTTCTTTTGGGGTCTATCCTGTTTGGGTTTCGTTGGACTTCCTGAATAGATATATTTTCACCTTTCATCATATCGGGGAAGTTCTCCTCCATGTGGGATCTTTTTATGGTCAATAAGTAATATGAAACTGAGAAGACTTTTTGGGTAGCAAGTATTTTAATAACATAAGGTTAGAAATAATCCAAACACTGTAGTTTTGTATTTTTGAAACAAGTCTTTTTATGGAAGTAACATGTACTTAATTAGATTTCTTATTTTAATTAGAATCAGTCGGACTTGTCAGATGAAGAGCTCAATGATGACCTTTTACAAAGTGATAATGAAGATGAAGAAAATTTCAGGTACTCTTATTAACTCACTAAAAATGTTCTTTAACTATAACGATAGAAATATTTGTAGTTTATATTTCTAACAAAATATAATTGAACAGTATTATATTTTCACATGATTGCATTCTAAACCTTTTTCTGTAAGTAACTGAATTTTATGAGTCAGTATAGGTCTTGCCTTAATGAGTTCTGTTGTATAGGTTATGAAAGCTCAGTACATATATGTACTGTTCTTTTTAAAGAATTACTTTATTGGATCGAGGGCAATGGGTTTGGATTCTTACAGTAAGTAGTGTTAGTTGCAATTTGATGTGGTTGCTTTTATTTTTATTTCAGACAATTTTTATTTTTACATATTTGTTTGCTAAATTACCATTTTGGAAATTACTTTGGGCATACTTTATACACTAGTTGACTATCTGAATATAATGAATATTTTTCTGTTATTGATATAGTAACATAGAAGAAGAGGACGGAGATATATAGTATAGTCTGGTCAAAAAAAAATCATCATAATTTTTGAGGAAACATTTATTGGGGAAATTGGAGCAAACACTTTTTAGTTACAAATGTGATTAATTTTTGAGCCATAAATTTGTAACAGGTTTTCTAATGGAAAATATTTTTTACCGGTAAAAATATAATTTTAATTGATTTAATGTACCTAAACTTCCCAGTTCCATTCTTTGACATCATTATATTCAGTGTTTTTAGTTAGTCAGATTGTCCTTGAAATGTATCTCTGGAAAATGTTAGCCACAGAATGTTTTTAAGTCTATGTGAAATACTCACTTTTTGTTAGGATTAGATATTTAATATATGTGAATTTAGATTTATCTGCAAAATCTTTCATTTGAAGTGTTGTTGTCTTGCATATTTTATTGTTTGGCTTTTAGAGGCTCTGATGGTGTATATTTATTTATTGCAGTTTTAAAACCTTCTTTATCACTTTAATAATTTTCTGAAATGTGTGACTAGTATATATTTGGACATTGAAATGTATTTTCACATAGTTTTTGTTTTCTTAGTTTTATTTATTTTGTTGAGAATCTACACAGCAAAACAAACAGATTTCAGTAGTTTCTGCTTGTACAATTTAATGACATTGGTTACATTCTTCAAGTTGTGCAATCATTTTCACCTTTCTCTTTTGAGTTGTTCTTTCCTCAGTAACAAACTCACTGCTCATGAAAGCTCTTTTCTCATCTTTCAAGTTGCTGTTGCCAGTTTGAATCCCATATAGATCTTAAAAGAGCATAATGCACAAAGCAGACATTTTTACTAGTTAAGCTAAACTATTGTTTGATTTTAAGGTGACTTCAGGGGATATTTTTTATATAACTTGCATTATAGATTGTAAAAAAAATAAATTATTCTTGAAATTTTGACTATAATTTTTTGCTTACAGAATAATACTATTGTTTTTATTTCGAAATCTTAGAAAGCAGTCGTCATCCTTTTCCTTCTGACAATTAAAAATGAAATTAAAATGAAGAATTTGTTTGATTTTAGTCCTGGACCTTTGCCGGTCAGACCTGTTTTTATCATCTGGTTGATTTGATTCTCTTGGTCAATAGTCTGCAACTGATGATAAGTGGTGGTGGTGTATGCATATGATGCTAACTCAGTATAGCTATTAAGCCTTTCTTTCGGTCATTGATGATGTAAATGTGCATTTATCAGTTAACTGGGATAGCTTTCCACTAGTAGTGCTTTAAATCTTTGTAGCAACTAATTAATTTAATTATTTATTTTGAACTCTGTTCTAATTGGGTGCTTTTCTTTGTATTTTTTGTCCTCTCTAGTTCTCAGGGTATCACAATTAGTCTTAATACTACATCTGGCATGGTACCATCTTTTGAACTGTCGGACAACACTAATGACCAGTCTGGAGAACAAGAATCTGAATATGAACAAGGAGAAGATGAAATAGTTTATCACAAATCTGATGGCTCTGAATTGTATTCTCAAGAGTACACAGAAGAAGGACAGTATGAAGGCCATGATGCTGAGTTGACAGAAGACCAAATAGAATATGTGGAAGAGCCAGAGGAGGAACAGCTTTACAATGATGAAGTGTTAGACATCGAAATCAATGAACCTTTAGATGAATTTACAGTGAGTCTTTTTTCCTTTGTATGACTAAAGATAACAATGCTTCACAGCCATAGGTGTTTTAGACTGATTTGAAATCTATTTACCTCCCTAGGGAAGGAGGGAAATTAGACCTTATTATCACTGTCTGCCAGTTTCTTTATCTGAGCTATGACAAAGTTTGTGTTGACAGCTTGTTTGGCCTTAGGTAATGCTCCTTTGTCATTCTGGAAGGCTGGAAAGAATCATGACCTTGAGGATTGTACCCTTAAGGAAGAAAACAGCTTTGTGTGGTAGAGATACACTGTCAATTGTTAGAAGTACTTAATGCAGAAGCTTTTATCCAGGCTTTAGACAAGATCTGATAAAGTCCTTTTAAGGTGAAAAGATTATTGACCTGCTAAAGATATCTTTAAGGTGCTAATATTCCAAAGTGATTGATGCCCTGCTCATTCATCCTTTTTTGTAACTGAGAAGTGTCTAAATCTGAATAAAGAGATTGGAGGTTAGTTTAGGAAATGTCACACATAATTTGTTATCTGTAATTAGGAAGCTAAGATTGTGTTGATTTTTATTTTGGAAAGAAGATGCTGGTAGGTAGTTTTTCAGTTGAAATGTCAGATAAAAGTATTAGAGAAAGATTGTTCATCTGTCTTAATGATTCATTACTGGAAAGATTTGCTTTGTAAAATAAATATTTAATGAAATTTATATGGGGAAGTGATCTCAGTAGTTGAAGTGGAGTGTTAGGTTTTTTCAGGAACACACAGGGTTCCATTGTGTTGTGGTACAACAGGGCCTGTGGAGATGGCCATGGAGGCATGATGAGTTAGGGCCTCTAAGAGAGTCTAGTCTCATTAGGAATAGCTATTTTATATCTTCATTCAGAATGAGCTTTCATTTGTGAAAAAAAAAAGTTTAAAAATTTCTGAATTTTAATCATTGCTTTAATACAGAAGTAAATTTTGAAACGGATTGTGTAAGTGGAACCTTAGAATATTTAGCTGTGGACATGATTGTTCTTTGGTCTGTCAAGAATGATTTGATTCTTTCATGCTTGCTTTTCAGTACAATAATGAAAAAGTGTTTGTAATTTTAGTTTTGGTCAGTAAAATCATGTAAAACGTGGTGACTTGTTATTTAGATAGCCTTGTAATAGTTTTTTTATTTTGGTAGTAAGTTCTTTGCTAATGGATTTGATTTATTGGTGTATTTATGTTTTCTTAAAATGGGATACTATAAAATGCTTTTTTAAAAGTTAATATCTTTAAAAAGTGTGCCTATTTATTCCCTAGTTGGAATATTTTATTATTTCTCTTAGATACTAGTAAAATAAGATGATTGACTCAGTGATCTCTGGGGTCCTTTCCACTTGTAAATTCAATAGCTCAAATTTTACTGATTTCTAAGCACTGGGGGCACATATATTGACAAACCATGAAACATGGTTCCTGATCTTAGTTAACTTAGAATTTAGTGGGACAGATCACTGTGTGGAAGCACTTGATTAAGTGTGCAGTGCTAGATAAGAGGTAGCTATCACTTCTACGTTTTAGTAAAGTTTGTTTTAAAGACATTTTATAATAAATGAGTAATTTTCTTTTATTGTATTCTGTTGTCAGACTTGAAGTTACTTTAGGCTCCTGGTTGTTATAAATTGGATTTAATTATCCAACATCACATGGTCTAAGATGTGGATATCTAAAAGAAAAGAAAATGTGGCAACTTAATATACTTAGAGTACTCTTCCATATTAAAAGCAATTAATTTTTTTAGAATTAAAAAAAAAAGCTTTAAGGTAAAACTGTCTATTTAGCAATTCTGAAAGTATGTTTATATTTTCATAGAGAGTATGAACTTTAAAGGTGAGAAGTGTTTGTCTTTTATAAACAATATGAGCTCACCTTGCTATATCTAGCCTTATAGCCATGACCATTCTTTTCTTTTTTTCCTATTTCTTTTAAGATTATTGGTTTATGCTTAGTTATCACAGTGGTAGCTTCTGGAATTACCTCTTTGTGTAGGAGGAGATACACAGAATTAAATTGTAAAATACTCACCTCTTGCTCTGCAGTAGAAGCCTCTCATTGTCTTCTTAGGCTGTCACTGATAAACTATTTATTTATTCATTATTGTACTAATGAACACATTAATAGATTTTAATCTCTGTTTGTATCCCAGTGGTATTTAGTTTATTAAATGGTTACTTTAACTATGATTCTTTGCTCTCGTTAGTATTTGTTAATCTGTACTCTTAAAACCAGAGTTGAACTTTATGAACTGATCATGAGCACTTTCTATTAGCGCTTACCCACAAAATCACACAGAGGGACTTTTGCAGTAACTAGTAGTAGTATCATCAAGCTACAGAACTTTACAATTGGAAGGAACATTCAATTTTACATGTGACGGATCTGAGGTCAAAGAAATGGGAAAACCTGGTTTTACAACTCTGGTGTTCTTTCTTACTGTACCAAAATGTAAGAAGAACCTTAAGTTTAGCTATTCTGCTGGTGCTGTTCTTAAGAGTGGACTGTGATTTGATTTGAAACCTTTACTCTTGTATTAGTAAAGAGTGTGTTTTGCTTATTACCCAAAAAATTTTTGAAAATTATTGGGTGACTTAGACTTTTTAAGTGCCAAGTAGTGTGTGTAGGGCCTTTTAAATTAAACTTAGATTGGCATTTCATAAAACAGTGTTCACTAAAAGCCATTTCAGTTAATAATTTATGTAAAGGGTACCAGATTTTTTTCCCTGTGGGAATACCATGGTGTATGCTGTACTCTATTGTAAATTGGCTGAAAATTTTGATTAGCATTGTCTCATCTTATTTGAAATCTGACAGTTCTTCTACCAGTGAATCATGGGTATTGATAATTGCTCTTTTTAATAGGATTATAACTAGTTCTTCTGGAAAGTAAAAATGCACTGTGTTCAGAGGATCTTGAGAGGTAGTCTTGTGAAAAAAAGTAGTTTTTTACCTTAAATACATCTGTTTTTCTTTGGAAGTTGTAGATTAGGCTGTTGTATATCATACTGTATGTTGTTTAGTTTCCTTAGGTTATTTACTCCTTTCTGCCTGCCTTGCAACCATTTTACTGTTTGTTTTTAGCAAGTGGCTAGGGACACTGGGAAGAAAGATCATCTCTGCTGAGTGGGAACGGGAGACTGGGAAAAAACTAAGAAATCTGATCTTGTCACTTGTTAGTAGTACAGTAGAGACCCTTCTTTCAGGGTAATCTCCAGCAAGCCTGCCTGCTTCTTTCCATGTACCCTTAAGGGACTACAGCCTGTGATATTTTTCTTATATTTTATATAAAACTGGGAATCAACCCTCTCATTCAAGGGAGAAGCCTAATGTAGAAAGTAATATTAACATGTGATTTTTTTTTTTAAACTCAGATATTGAATTGAATTGCCCATAATTCTGTTTTTCATTGCCATAAAAAATTGCTAGCATTGAGTATAATTTTAGCTTTCTTATTGCTACTGAGTTCTTATATGATAGTGCATGAACAATTTCTTTTCCCCCTTTTTCTTTATATTACTTTAAAAAAGAGCAAATATTTAACAGGGCATTTTTAAGTTTGAAGCAGCACCCCGTGTCACTAACCTTAACACTGGGTTAGCATGATGTCCTTTGTTCTCATTAATACTTAGAGGAAGTTACATTCTATTTTTGTGCTGCTTTGTACGCAGTCAGGTAATTGCCATAGTAAAATTTGCTAGAATAATTAAGCATGAGTCATAAAGATGATAAGTGCTTAAAAAAAAAAAAACCCAAAAGATGTATGAGAAAAACATGTTTTCTCTTTAATGGCTGTTAGGATGAAGAATACTTGCAGGCTTATGGTGGGCAACAAGGGATGCAAAAGCAGGAAGACTATGTTGCTGAAGATAAATTAGATGAGATTACTGGTTCCCAGGTTGCTCCTGAAACTGAAGAGGTACTTGTTAATCTTTTAAAAAGAGTCCAAAAGTTGTTTTTTCTCTTTCTTTCTTTTTTTCCTTTCTTCCAGATTTAAAATGAGCATCTGCTTAGTGTTAGTGAAAAGTTGATATATCTGCTCTTGGAATTATTGAGTGTAGTATAAAGCTTAGCTTTCTAGACTCTTTGGGAAGTTAGTCCTGTTGAGCTGTGTTTTCCAGATAGTGGTTTGCCCTTCAGGGGTTACACTGTTTTAAAAGTTTTATGGGGATCTGACTCCTAGTGACCCACCCTTGGGTTTCTGAGGAGGTATCACTATGGCAGTAGGTCACACAGTCTTCCTTCTGAGGAGATTATGGGGATAGGGATAGATATCTATGGAAAATAGGTTGTATCTGTTATTGCTTTGAAAGGAGTGCTGTAATTATCTTTAACCTTTCCTTATTAACTAAAAGTTCTCATTATGAGCATTAGTTAATTTTGATCATTATTCAGGTGTACTACAAGGTTCCTCGTGTTTTAGATGTTTAGGTTTTGAAGAAACAAGGATGGATCGAATTTGATTCCTGCCCCCAAGTAACTTGTAGTCTAATATAGGGTAGGGAGTATGGTTGTAAATTCCTTTGATGTTAGTTAGAAAAAGTAAACTCTCCCAAGAGAGGTTCAGATAAAGTACTTTAGGAGCTCACAGAAAGAGAATACCTGAGCCGGATGTGTGTCTGAGTGAGTTGGAGATAAAAGGGGGTCAGTAGTCACTGAGTCTTTAGAGAAGAGATAACCTCTCAATTAGGTCTTAAAAATAGTAGTTTGGACTAATAGAAATTATGTGGGGCATAGGGTTAAATGTATTCTGTTATGTAAGCTTGTGGGCCAAGCATAAAAGCCAGAAAATCATTAAGACTTGTTGATTTTTTTTTTTAATGTTTCTTATTTAATACTTTTTTCTACCTCTTTTATTGGGAGCTCTAGTAACGTAGTGCCTAAGGCACTTGACTGCTAATCAGAAGGCTGGTGGTTCAAACCCACCACCCACTCCTCGGAAGGACGGTTGGGCAATCTACTTCCATAGTGATACCGCCTCAGCAACCCAAGGAG